TAAGATAAAACATGGACCCAATCATTCCTTAGTATATAGTTGCATTTACATCATTTCTTTCAGCATCAACGTGTATCTTCACAGAAGGGGACATGAGAGTTTTGGCTGGTTTACAGTTAGTGAAAGAAAATTTCTTAAACATGTCTTGCATATATTTGCTTTGATGGATTAAGATACCATATGGAAGTTGTTTGACCTGTAGACCTAAGAAGAAGGTTAATTCTCCCATCATGCTCATCTCAAATTTGTGTGCCATAACTTCAGCAAATTATTTTCTTAAGGATTCATATGTGGATCCAAAAATGACGTCATCTAAATATACTTGTGTAAGAATAATATGTGATCCTGAGTGCTTGATGAACAATATCAATTGCACCTCGTCTATATCCGTTATGAACAAGATAATTCGCCAGAGTATCATACCACGCCCTTGGAGCTTGCTTCAGTCCATAAACTTCCTTATCTAATCTATAAACATGATTAGGAAACTTATCAATTTCGAAGCCAGGAGGTTGTTTAAGAAACACTTCTTCTTGAAGCTCCCCATGCAGGAAAACAGTTTTGACATCCATTTGATACATAGTGAAGTTCATATATGATGCATACGTAAGAAAGATACAAATTGTTTCAAGTATGGCTACATGATAAAATGTTTCATCGTAATCCAGTCCTTCCAATTGAGTAAACCCCAGAGCTACCAATCGTGCCTTATTTCTGATAACAGTACCATCTTCATCCATCTTGTTGTGAAAAACCCAGCAAGTGTCGATGATTGATTTATTTTCAGGGCGAGGAACAAGAGTCCATACCTCATGTCATTCAGACTCATTTAATTCATCTTGCATTACCTTAATCCAATCATCATCTTTAAGAGCTTCATTGATCTTGTTTAGCTCAATCAGTGAGACAAAGTTGACAAACAAACAAAAATTGTATGTCGCTTGTCGTCGAGTGCATACCTCGTCTAAGATATTTCTAATTATTTGATCAACATGGTGTCATAGAATAGTACGTAGATTAAACACTGATGAATCAGCTCCATTTGACTCCATGTCAAGTTCTTTAAGATTTGTAGGATGTGCTTGAGAGTCTTCAATAGGAGAGGCATTTTCACTAATATCTTCAACAATGGATTCTTTGGTTTGGACATCATCTATAGAGGAGTTTGATGATGATGGAAGAAGATTGGTGTCAAAAGAGATAATTGGTTTAGTGAGCTCATAATCCATAGATGGATAGTGAGTGAGCTCTTCTAGTATGGACGCGGGATGATCAACTGGATCATTTGTATAAGAAATATCATAAAAAATAACATGAATTGATTCTTCAATGATCTGCGACTCCATTTTTTTGTGGAGTCCGGACAGTTGAGAAGTTTTGATAAATTCCCTTATCATTACAAAAATCCTCCAGTGTGGAGTTTCTAAAGTCGGTACCATGATCGCTTGGGAGTTGCCTTATCTTTCGATCATACAAAAATTCATTTCTTTTGAAAAAAGAGATGATTTCATCAGTGGCATGACTCTTTTTCCGAAGGAACAATACCCAAGTAAATCTTGAGAACTCGTCAACAATCACTAGAGTGAACCTTTTTCTGCCAAACAGATCCATATGAAGAAAATTAAATGTATAAGTGATTGAAAAACATGACCTTGGCTTAAACGAGGACTTGGTTTGTTTTCCTTTCACACACGCTGAGCAGAGCTTGTCCTTGTGAAACTTCATCTTAGGAATTCCTCTAACAAGTTCACCACCATAAATCTTTGAAAGTGCTTTAAAATTCATATGAGACAGCTTCGTGTGCCACATCCAGTTCAAGTGGGCTTGGGAACGAGAAAAGAAGCAATGTATGAGAGTTGAATCGACAGAGAACATATCTAGCACATATATATCATTTTTCCTGTTGGTAGTGAGAACTACTGAATTCTTAGAATCAATAATGTTTGCTTCCTTCTTTTTGAAAAGAATCTTGTAGTCAGCGTCACAAAGTTGATTGATTGATATGAGGTTATGTCTAATTCCTTTGACATATGAAACATATTTGAATTCCACGGTCTTACACTTAATGGTTCCAAAACCCATAGTTTTTCCTTTGATGTCGTCTCCGTAAGTCACTTCAGGGACATCCTTTTTCACAAAATCATCCATGAGAGATTTAAATCATGTCATTTGTCTGGAGCATCCAATGTCAAGATTCCATATGTGCTCCAGACCCGATGGTGCTAAGAAAACAAATTAGAACACACTAACCTATTTTTCAATGGGTCTTTTCACAAAGGATTTGGTATTGAAGATATCATAACAAGCAGCAGGGAGACAATTTAATGAGTTATTCTTTTTAATCCACTTGTCATTTCAGATGAGAATATTTTCAGTTCTTCTACTGTTTTCTCCAAAAGTACAATAACTGATTTTATGAGATGCATCTCCACATCGATAGCAAACCCTTATACCATACTTTTTGTTTTTATTACATGATATGGTATTTTTCCAGAATTTAGGTTTCCAAGGAGATGGAATATTTTCATGAATCTTGTGAACTTTTGAAAAAACTTTAGAAACAAAGTATCTATCAGTGTGACAAGATGGGGAGACAGATGACTGACACGTTGATGTGCACAAAGATTCATCAGTGACAGAAAAATTTGAGTCATCAGATTCATAGCTGCTAACAATACAATTTGTAGAAAAATGAAGTATTTCATGTGTGGAATGAAATTCCCCACTGGATATAGGAAATTTAAGATACATTTCAGTGGTACGTGTTGGAGTATCAAATGAGGTATTTCTAACACTACTATCTAAAGCAGTTAACTTGGTAGTGCATACAGTGAGACCATCAGGATTTGTTGTGTAGTGTTTTTCAATAATATTTTGATTTATGTATGTATTACTGACAAATTTCGATCTAAAATCACTTTCAAGTTCACTGAATCTGGAGAAATTAGGTTCCGTCTCAATTTGCTTATAAATTTCTACGGCCTCTTCTATGTTTCCACCAAGGGTTTTCTCACACTGATCAGGTATCTGGGCCTCTATGATTTTGTTTAGCTTATGATGAGAATGTGCCTAATTGTCAATCATGCCCTGTAACTTACTTTCATGTAATTCAACATTATTGTTTTTGTGTGCAGGTCAACATTTGTGAGAGAAAGATTCATGACATTTATGTTTGTTTGAGCACGAACTCTCTCAGTGTCAATTTATTTATTTGTCAGTGTTTCAGTGTCAGACCTAAGAGATTTCTTTTATAGATTAACATTTGAAAGTTGAAGACACAAGTAATCAAAATCATGCATTTTTAGTTATCATAGTAGTTAACAAATTTGTTTACCTGATATAAAGATGATGAATCCCAGTCCACCATCTTTGAATCCTTAGAAACTTTAGCTAGATCGACTTCAACAGTGCTTGTGATGTGTGTGAAACCAACTAGTTTTAATCCTACTAACTTAGACACAAAATAAACACACGAAAGACAGTGTACCTATCGATTAGTAATATAGTTCAAGCAAGTAGGGTATCGAACACAGGGAACGGTAAACAATTAAAATAAATGCTAATATTATCTAAATATAACAAGTAATAGAAAGGGGATTTTCTCTAGTTTTGCAAGACTAGAAACTTAACTAAGACTTAACTAACACTTAATTAAGCAACTAACAACTAAACAATTAAATTGCAACTAAATTTAATGATAAAAAAGACTTCTGTTTAAGTTCAAATCAATTGATCCTATGGTTGATTTTATGGTAAATATATCAGATTAACTTTTCATTGGCTACCGATTGAGATGATTAGGTTCACGTTCGTTATTGCTAATCCTTAGGAAACAGATTAATTCAAGCAGTGGCCAGTTGTCTAAATTAATAAGTTCCCTAGTTAATTAATTCGGGTTAAGTAAGACTTGTATTGGTTAATTGAATTGGTGATTCAATTAACCTCTTGTTGATGGTGTATCACACAAGCTCACGTATTAACTTACCTATCTTCTAGTTAATTCTAGTTTCACATTCGTTATTCCTAGACATATAACTATGTGGTTACATAAATCATATGAAATTGATAACTAAGAGATGTTCATACAACTTAATTACTGATTTATTAACAGAAAATAGTTGTTATTAATATATGAGGTTCTTTAACATGCTTAACAAAACAATATCACCAATTAAAATTAATCCTAACCATAAAATCAATCCATATTCACAAAATCATCTACCCTAAATAGAAGATATTAGTTTTAACTCATGATTACAGCAGAAAGTAACTCAAAAACGAAATCAATTGATGCAAACATAGTTTAAACAAAATATTAAGTAAAGAGTAAACCTAAATTGCCTTTGATCTTCTCAAAATTGGAATCTAAGTTGAAATCTCGAAAACCACAGCTTCTAAGAACCCTTCTGGTCTCTAAAAATCGTCCATAGCTTCCCCCATTCGTTAGGGTTCGAATGAGAAGCGTTTATATATATATATATATATATATATATATATATATATATATATTCTGAAAACAGGGGCTACTCGGCGAGTCCAGTGTCAACTCGGCGAGTCCATCACTTAAAATCCCGTGTGCGGCAAGTCAAAGTCAAGAATCGCGGAACTTCTGACCAACTCGTCGAGTTGATGGCCTACTCGTCGTGTCCGTTTGGAATCAGCATTTTCTCAAAACACGAAAGTCGTCCGAAATTGTGTTTAGTTTTCAGAACATTTTGAATCTCGTCAATCGGAGTTACGGTTCATGAGATATGACCAAAACACTGACGAGGGGTCAAGCTGTCCAGCAACATCCTTCTTTCTTCAAAATCCAAGATCCAAGCTTCCGATTGCTAAATCCGCTTCATTTTCCGTCCGACCATGTCATTGTTGCTGAAAAATGAAATTCTAAACTAATTAAGCACCTTTTGTTCATTAAATGAGATAAAATCAACATAAAGTATTAAGATAATATATAAATTATATGACTAAATATGCCAATATCAGCTTGTGTCATTACTTCATTCATCAGCGACAAGCGCATTAATGTGGGCCATAAAACACTTGAACTTCTCTTGATCTTCATTAGATGACTTTTCATCATCCACCCAATTTTCTACTTCTGCTACCAAGATTTTTACATCAATGTTTTGCCTCTTCAGAGAGGCCAACAACTTCTCATACTTTTCTTCATAATCTTCTCTTCTATCTAGCTTCCTGGGTTTGCACTCCCTAGCAAAGCGATCAGTTCCTCCATAATTGAAATACTTTTGTCCTTTATTCTCAACAACAATCTTCCAACCATCATCATAAGTTTTAGAAGCTGATGAGTCAATCTTTGAAGGAAACTTTCTGAGACCAGATGGTTTCTTTTCACTTCGGCTAATGTAGAGTTTAATTATCAAGGATTCACCTTCAGATTCATCAGAGAAGTCATTACCACTATTTGGGAGTGAATTTTTTTAGTATAGGGCCACATATATATATATCCCTCTTAGTGTCACACATAATTTCCTTGTGCAAGATATTCGTTTCTTCATGATTATGAAGATTTCCAAATAATGAATACAGATCCATGGTAGCAATCTCCTCATTGTTCTTTAGAATATCAACATTATGTTCCCAATTATCATTTAGATAGTCAAGAAACTTGAGAACCAAAGAGTTTCTTGTTTTGTTCATGTTGAGACAACGCATATCGTTCACCAAGAAGTTGAAGCGATTAAACATTTGAGTAAGATATTTGTTTTTCTGCTGGAAAAAGTGTTCATACCGTCGATTTAGACTATTCTTGTTGACAACCTTCACTTCATCAGTTCATTCATAAGCTACCGTCAGCTTATCCATCATCTCCTTAGTAGATCTACAATTTTGAACCAAATGGCAGATGTCATAGGGAAGAGCGTTTCTTATGGCAGCACGAGCTTTGACATCAAGAGCAACAAGAAGCTTATCTTTGTCATTGAATTCATGAACACATTTTTTGACCTCGTGATGAGCAGGTTTTCTTGACCCCGTCACCATCTTTAACTTTTTATTTGACGGACTAAAACATAAGAACATGAGGACCATCTTCAAAAATATTCAACATCGAATAGTCCATGGTTTCAAGAACCATCATGGCTTTTGACTTCCACATGGTGAATTTCTTCTCATCAAACATAGGGATCTTGTAACCAGAAGTGGTATAAGTGGTAGTGGTAAAGGTTTTTTTAGAAAGATTAGATAAAGAAGGAGAATACATTGTTAATCGATATCAGTAACATGCTCTGATACCAGTTGTAGGTTCGTTGATCAAGATCGATTGGGAAGACAAAGAACAATGGTTTATCACAAAGGTTTTCACTAAGAAAGTTCTCACAAAGAGAACGAGCACAAAGCTAGGGTTCGTGAAACAACAAATGACACGAACCCTTGATACATGGTTTTATAATAAAGCAAGTTTGTGAGAATCCCTATAATTTGGGGATTTCACCTATTCTACGTAAATAATAATATATATATAATATCTATAAAAAATTAGATTTGCTAACTAACTACATGTATAACATAAATACAAAAGATTACATAATGACGTTGTCATGACTTTGTAGACAATACTTCACATTGGTGCCGGTGAGATGCTTGTGTTGATGTGATCATCGTGACTTGGTTTTTACTTCATCATATTTTAAGTTTTGACCTTACAACAACCTTCTAATTTAAATCCATAAAAATAACATAATTTCTATTTTTTTAGCATCGAAATAATGTATAAAATCCCTAAAATTAAACCAATTCCATATCTATTCCTATTATATCGGTTTTCAAGTAAACAACATTACCGTCATTATACAATATAATATTGTATACATATATTCAAATTATATGTTTGTTAATCCTACATCCTCTGAATTCCTTCACCGAGTCGTGATTCACAACATTCATACATCAGGTTAGTGTTTTCAAACTAATATTTTCTTTCTTTCTTAGGCCATGAGTGTCATTTCTTCATATATTATGTATTTTTTCTCTAATACATCGAAAACACAGACACAACCACCTAAAAAGACATAAAAGTACTTTCTAAATTGGATGCTATTATGGGTTTATAGTTTTATCAACATTTTTTTTCATATTAATGTACTTATAAAATATACCCATAATATCATCTTACTTTCTAAAAAGGGATCTTTATGTATATTTTTTGTATGTTTTAGCATTGTACTTTGCAGAAAGTGAAAGTACATTACTATTACACTGCTATAAACATAAATGGACCCTTTTGATTTAACCGTATATCCCTTTTGATTTAACCTTATTTCTGTTGTTTTTTTTTTCAATTTCTTTACTCAAAGGGAAACAAGGGTAATAAAGATAAAGGGACCTTTTATGTACAGTTGTTGTAAAACTCTTTTAACATATACATAACCACCTAAATAGATATAAATGTACTTTCTAAGTTGGATGTTATTATGGGTTTCTAGTGTAACATTTGGATCCTCAAGGTATGGAAATTTATGAAAAATAAGAGTTTTGGGTGGGTTACGATGTGAGGGAATCATCGTCACATCGTGACATGGCCGCAAGAGACAAGAGTCTCATTTAAGTGTCACGATGTGATACCATGATGATCACGACGTGACACCTAGTCAAGGACAAACCCTAATTTTAGACTTGGACCCTATTTAAAGGAAGTGAGGGCTAGGGTTTCCTTCACCCTCAGCCTCCATCACCTCGTAAGCCTCTTGAAGAAACCCTAATCCATCTCGTCTATTTTTAAGATCATCTTAGTGCTTTTGGATGTTTTTAAAGGAGGAAGAAGACCTTGGTAGTGTTGTGTGCATCTTGACAAGCATTGGGACTCCTTTTGGGCATCTCTGGATCTTTGTAAGTGTTCAAGATCCAAACTTTATTGTCCTAGGTTGCTAGATCTAAGGTTTTGTCCCATATTATTCAAGTCTGAGCTAGCTGGAATGGTATGATTCCATAAAGTTAGCAAGTTTATGGATCCTTGAGCTCCTTTGTATATCGGGTTGGATAAGGTGTCTAAGTCCATAACTATATTTGGTATGTACTTGACCCGAGAGTAGCATGGTCCATTTGGGTTGCATGGCACCAAAACAATCTGAAGGATGTACTTTTGAGAAGAGATTATTTGTGATTTATAATATATTATAAGTTCTAATATATTAATAAGAAATCATATTATTTAATTAGTATTGATCAAGAATTAATTTGGAATTAATTTTGTGATCAAAATAGACTTATATGAGGATTGACTGTGTAAATCATTGATTCTTATAATGTGGGCCTATGATCCATAATTATTTAGGTTAGGCTAAACCAATGTGACAACCCATGGATGCTCCATGGAGGTTTAAACCCATGGAGCCTAAGGAATATGGAAGGTCATGCACATTAGGGTTTACATGGTGTAATCCTAGTTTTGCCACACTATATAAGAAGACCCTAGGCTACTAAAATCGGCACTTAAGTAGTCTTTGGAAAAGCTATAGCCGAATTTGGTACAAGACGGTCTCTCTCAAGTCCTCCATTGTTGGTGGTGTTGTGTGAAGCATTTGAGGCATCACATTTGGGGTGCTAGGCTCTTAAAGGTCCAAGGATTCAAGATACAAGAAAAGGTATGTTATCTAACTAGTTTTTGTTATACAAGTACCCATGTTTTGTATGCTAGTTAGGATAAAGCTTTGCAATATCAATTGCATGTATAATTAGAGAAAACATAGATCCAAGGCATTTAGGGTTGTATGTGCACCTTAAGGTTGTTATGATGCTCAAAACCCATCAGTGGTATCAGAGCCATGTTGGTTTTCTATTATACTTGATGTTTTATTGGTTTTCAAAGTTGAAAAATTGAATTTATGCATTCTGTTCAGTAAACTCACCGAGTCCACTGGGTGACTCCCCGAGTCCACTCATAAAATGACCAACTCGACGAGTCCAGTTCATGTACTCACCGAGTTGGTGCTCCAGTGGGCAGATTTTCGACTTTTGGCCAGAAATTGGATTAGGATCATTACCCCAAACTGTTTTTTAAACCATGAAGTATGTTTTTTCATAAGGTAATGATCATGCTTGTCCAATTAAAAGATAATTGTCATAATTTCAATATTTGTATTAGTTTATATGATTAGGCTATTTCTTGAAGATTGATGATATGAATTATCTTGTGCTTATGAGTCTAACTAGATCATGTATGAATTTTTGATAATTGTGTTAATTAAATTAATGATCTTAATGGTTTTAATGGACTCCATAACTTGTCCTCAAGTTATGGAAAACCAAAAGTCTTTTCTTTAAAAGTCATTAAACTCATAAGTTAAGAAAATGAACAGTTTTGAATTGTGTCAAAACTTGCCCTCAAGTTTTGGAATTTGTAAAGTCACACTTAAGAATACTTTAATTCCAAACCCTAGAATTTTAAAAGTTTAAAATTCAACCCTTGTACTATTATAATATTATAAGTTTAATAATTATATATATATATATATATATATATATATATATATATATATATATATATATATATATATATATAAGACAAGTCAGTCTTACTGTTAGTAGGCCTCATTCACGAAGCCGGTCTATAAGGGGGGGGGGTATAAGGTTACTTCCTATAAAATGGCAGTTTAATGGGTGTCTACTTTCACCCACCGCTTCCTTGACTGATGGAGGGTCGTTAGCCGAACGGGTAGGATAGGACACTAATCCTCATTAAAAGTATAATGATAATTATAAAGTGTAACACCCGTCAAAATTAGGTCAACAACAATCACATGTGATTATGCCAATCATGTAATGTGATTTTGTTAAACTAGTAAATTGATAAACTTACTTTTTAATTCATGTTAAATTATGAACATTCATACATAATTTATGATACAACTCAAAGTATACGTCCATACGATTCCAAAAATATAGAGAACGTCTAAATCTGACTTCGCGTGAAGAAGTTATGATAAACCGAACACTATAAATCTCTATAATAATATGAATTTAAAATAGCCTTATAATTAGCTATTGGAGTCTAAAAGAGAGTTGTAGTGCTCGTAAATACCTACGCGTGGATATAAAGAACGTCAAAAACAGAGTTCGTATGCGAAAGTTACGACCTTCCGAAGATTCAGCTGTCAGAAACCCTAATTTGACTGAACTCACGACGTGAGCACAGAAACTCACGACGTGAGGAGTCATTTTGCCACATTTCGGATCTAGAAGGTGCGTGACGAGGCTATGAAGTGATAAGATCCAAACTCACGACGTGAACATTGATATTTCACGACGTGAGGAGTCATATGGCCACCTTTGGAAGCTAGAAGACGGAAGGCAAGTCTACGAAGAGATAAGCTCGAAACTGACGACGTGAACAATGAGTTTCTCACGTCGTGAGGGTCCAAAATCCTTCCTATAAATAGCAGGTCTGACTTCAGCTATTCCTTACACCATTTCCCTTTCTCCTCTCTCCTTTGCTGAAGCCCTCTTGCATCCCGAGCCCCGACGACCTCGTACGCTGACCGTTTCTGCTTAGATTACATAAAATCACATTATTAAGGTGAGTTTCACGGCCCCACTTTCTAATATTTCGGGGGAAAACGCATGCTAAATATTATATATACATTATTATTATGTCTATATGATAATATATTAGTATCAACGTAGATAGTTATAATAACCGGGATATAGTTATTTCGTATCTGAAAGTATACAACTATCGTAAAGTTGTTAGCATGTTATTGTTATAGTAGTATACTAATGTAGATCTTGAGTTATACTTAGGATTCTATATATATTTTGTGTGCGATATAGTTCCAGAGTTATACTCGGAAGTTTTATATGTAATTGATAAGTATGTTGTTATTGTTGGTTTTATGTCAAGATAAAACCAGGTATGTTATATGTTGTTGTTATTGGTTTTATGTCAAGATAAAACCTGTATGTTATTGTTGGTTTTATGTCAAGATATAACCTGGTTTTACTTCAAGATATAGCTGTTATACTGCCTAAATGTTATGAAGTTAGGA